GAATGGCTTGAACCAGGGAGGCAGAGGTTGCAGTGAGCCGAGTTGCGCCACTGCACTCCAGCTTGGGCAACAGAGCGAGACTCTGACAAAAAAAGGAAAAAAAAAAAGAAAGAAAGGAAGCAGGGAGAAAGAAAGAAAAGAAATGCACATTCTCAGTCCCCACTCCAGGCCTACTGAACAAGAAACTGAGAGTGGGGCCCAGCAGTCTGTATTTTAACAGCCTCCAGGTGATTCTGACTAATTCTCAAGTTTGAGAATCCACTTGGGGCTTGCAGGGGTCACTCTTCAGGTGGCCCCTAATGCCCACTGGTGATATGGGTCCTGTGTGCTGCTGAGCTCAGCATCGTGCAGTCAAGTGGGCTGACTGTGACACAGGCATATGCTCCCACCCCTGAGAAGCCACCGAGACCTCCTTCCCTCATCCTCTGTGGCCTCCCCAACAAATGACTGCCAAGACATCAATGAAAAGTCTGTATGAAGTGGATCCAAATTATTAGCCTGCCTACCGCTCCTTGTGCATCTCATCAATTGAACCCATCTCTAGACCAAGGGCCCTTTAGGTGAAGAACCAGCCCAGAAGGGAAAGAGAAAATAATAGAACCAAGGGACCTCCAGATGGGAGCGGTAGTCAGTGAGCAGTTTAGAGTCAGGGACATGTTAGCACCCTGGATACGTGCACATGCCCTGATCTTTGCTTTCCATCTGTGGTCAACGCCTATGTGGCTTTTTCTTATATCCTTTAAATACATATCTGACTTAGTATCATCTCACAGAAGGTGAGAAGATAAAGAATCATAATGAAGCAGCAACAAGCCACAGACCAGTGTACACTCACACTGAAATCCTCTTTTTCCCACCCTCTCCCTCAAGAAAACATCCCTGCTGACTGAGCAGCATGATGGCCATAGTGAAGCAGAGTGGCCCCCAGGGGTCTCGCTCTGTCCTCGCACACGCGCACACAGGAGGAGCCAATGAAGTGGATCCAAGGAGAGGTGGCAAACGCTGCACAGGAATGTCTGTCAAAACTCTTCTGGGGGACACGAGTGCTCTACCACGGGCATAAGTATGCCCTGAATTTCTGCAGCTGAAGCCACATAGTCTGGTGACCAAGCATTTGGTTCCTAGCTTCAGTCTTTGGTTCAAATCCCTGCTTGGCAACTTACTACCACACCTTATTACCAAAATGTGACCTTGAGCAGTAACTTCCTTAAGCCTCAGTTTTCTCATCTGTAAAAGGGGGATGATAAATCATGAAGTTGATGGAAGGATTAAATGAGGGTAATAAATGTGAATGTATAGTGTCTGGCTTATGGTATGGCTTTATAAATGTTAGTTGTGTTAGAGTTGTTCTTTTCAAACCATGGATCACAACCATTCATGGTTTGCAACCAGTATTTTTTTCAAGAAAAATTTTTAATGCATTACATATTGCAGGATAAGTATTATTTTATGACACTTTGGGGGTTGTGTGTATATGTATTCTGGAATGTAACAGAAAAATATTTCCTCTTGTGAGTTACAATATAGAGGTATGAAATCTCATAAAAAGACAGAAAAAAATAACCAACAGATGCTAGGCTTAATCCTCGGTGATGAAATAATCTGTTCAAGAAACCCCCATGACACAAGTTTACCTATATAACAAACCTGCACATATACCCTGAACTTAAAATAAACGTTAAAAACAAAAAACAAAGCAAAAAAATAAAAATTAGCCAGGGATGGTTGTGTGTGCCTACAGTTGCAGCTACTCAGGAGGCTAAGCCAGGAGGATCACTTGAGACCAGGTCAAGGCTGCAGTGAGCCATGATCATGCCACTGCACTCCAGTCTGGGCAAGAGAGCAAGACCCTGTCTCAGAAAAAAAAAGTATTTATCATTTTTAGTTGACAGATAACATTGTATGTTTTATTGTATAGAACAGTATATTCTGAAGAACATTTACATCGTAGAATGGTTAAATCCATCTTCTAGTACATTTCTGAGGGTGGGGATGGTCTTGCAGACCTGATACAGTTTTTCAATTCCCTCTCATCCAAAACCCCGTTAGCACTCTTGAACAAATGCAGCTGACTTTTTAAATAACCCATTAAATGAAGCCTACTAATTTCTTGTTCCTAATTTTTAGTATCTCTTTTAGCAATAGGATTATGCAAATTGAAGAAAAGCAAACAGTGTTATTGAAGTACTTCAGAGCTTAAAAGAACCTGTTGAGTACATTAAAGAAAGTATTGACCAAAAATTATCCCTTTAAGTGTCCAAGCTGTTCTTAAAAAGAACAATATTACTTAAGAACAGGAAAATAAATTCCTGTTTAAGTGGATAATTATTATGGCACTTGCCATGACTATCTTTTGAAATGGTTTCAGCCCTTGGAGAACTCTATTCTTTTACATGGACTTCTGGCCTGTGAGCAAGTGAAATTTTTATATGTAGCATTGAAGAAGAAAATAAAAGTTGATGACAATGCTCTTTTTTGTCAGTGGATTCTTAAAAAGCTATCTGATGAAGAGATGCAATGTAATCCTGAAGCGTAGGAAAGCAATTTATGCCATGAAAGATGGTATTATATACTTCAACAAATCATATTTGAAGAGAAGCTCTCTGGGTTGTTAACTTTATGCCAATACATGCCCAGTATACTGGCTCATCATGCTAATGTTGCATATGTTTTCTCATTAATGAGGGTTCAATGGACAAAAGAATAAAATGAGCATATGATAACTGTAGAAGCTGTGTTACAATGTAAATGGAACTTAGACTGTCACTGTAAGGAATTTTATAAGCACACTCTACGAAACAAAGAACCATTAATGAAAGCCAAATCATTGGAGAAATATAATTAAAGAGGCATGTAATTTAGATACTGATACTTTATTTCAAATAAACAAGTAAGTGTTAAAGTATGTTCTGTGCAATATTTTCCTATTATCTGAGTGCATGTATGCATGGACAATTAGAAATTCTGATGTAATTAGGCATCCTGTATTTTTATTTGCTAAGTCTGGCAACCCTTGATACATAGGTTACTTGTCCAGAGACACTGCTAGTAAGTGACTTGGCCAGGATTTAGCAGCACAAAACGGACTAAGACAAGTAAGTATATGAGAAGGACAGGGTGATGACAGCGTCACGTAAGATAAGTAAATCCTCATCTACCATAAGATGCCATGAATTTTTATATTAAATAAATGAATCGAGAGATAATAAAGACACGGCACTGTTTCAATATGCTCTGAAACATACCTGCCATTTATGACTTATTCCCAACAATGGATTCTCTTCCATTTTAGTAGTTAGTTGCTTTCTCCCTGTCTCTGAGTGCTGTGTCCTGTCTTGTGTTCTCCTGTGTCCTACTAGTACTACTACAGAGTTAATTATCAAATATTTAATGAGTTCCAGTTATGAGCCAAGCTCTTTTAATTATACTCCCCTTGACAGAAAACAGTTACCTCCTGATGGGATCAGAGTTGAAACATGGGTTTCTTCTCCCCTCCATCCCTTGTTCATGCATACCCAATCACCCTACAGTCAGCAGGTAAAGGGCAGACATCAGAGACAGCCCAGGATGGAAGGGTTCGTTCTTTCTGCTTCCTGGAGCTTCAGTTCCGGTCGCCCATACTCTGGCCCCAGTAGCTGTCTGAAGTGCTCTACTAGCGGGCCAATCCCATTGTCTATTTTTAGTCCGTAGTTTTATTGGAATACTGTGTAATCTCAGATTGGAGTCGGCCCTCTAACAACCTCAGCCCCAGAGAACCTTCACCAGCTGGGAAAGCTTCTTGCCCTCCAACAGGAAGGAATTACTCTCAAAAACTTCTACTCTGTATTTCTGTTTTACAGGCTTTACTGTGCTCAGAGAATATCTATATATAAGGTTCAATAACTCTACAAGGCAGGCAGCCTGGATATTATCCCCATTCTGCAGATGAGGAACAGCACCATGGAAAGGTTATACGTGGCCATTATGCACTAGTGCAGCCATACCAATTGTTAAAAAAAAAAAAAAAAAAAATTCCAGACCAGGTGGTAAATAACTGTTGCCCCAAATCTTCTAAGTTATTCTGCTAATAGTTATTCAAGCTTTTGTCCCAAAGCCTCTCTTTACCCCTGGCTGTCCTAGACCTTCCCCCAGGACATCCTAGACCTCACTACAATTCACCAAGTGAAGGATTAGTGCCTAGCACAGCAGGAATCTTGGGGACCATCCCTCTGATGGGTCAGAACCTGCCCCATATTAGAATATATTTTCATACTTTCCCTGGTTATATGACTGTCCCTAGATTACATGAGTAAATAACAAAAATAGGAAATTTATACTGAGGCAACTCAGTTTAATGGGGCAGGGAAATGGACTAAAGCCTGCCTTGGCCAGTGTTTGTCTTCCCTTAGTCTTCCTCTTAGAACATTTTAACATTACATGTGTTCGAAGTCGTCTGATGATAATCCAAATTCTTTTTTAAAGTCTTATAAATATTCATACACCTTCCTCATAATCAAAGGCATAGCTGGAGAGTTAGAGCTGGGCTCTGTTACCTTTACCCATCAGAGCTAAGGGCTTTGTATTTCCAATATTTAGTTTATCATCTGATGCAAGGCTCTGGAACAACTCCTAATTGTTTCTGATGTCAGGGTGTCGGGAGCTACCAGGTCTCCTCACAGACATTTCCAGTGCTCATAGAGGCAGGTGTATGACAAATCCCATGCACCCACAAGAAGAAAATATAACCAAATGAAACATGAAAGAACACACATGTTTGAATTGGGGATGAAGGTCACAGCCCCACTTCTCCTCTCAATAAGGCCTTTTTACTTATCCTTGTGTCTGGGTGATGATGATGATGGAAGTGAAGTTTAACTAGGATGCGATTGTGAGGAGTTTTCAATATGGCACATGGGCTTTCGGCTACATTAAACATGTGACAAAAAGTGCTCATTTGAGTCAGGCTATCATTGTAGCTAGCCATGCATCCAGTGAAGTTTCCTAAACTGTTGCAAGCTGACCTGATCCATTCATGAGTTCTAAGATCAGTTCAGCTTGCAACAGTTTAGGAAAGGACTCCAGAGGCCACAGCCACTGATGCGGATGTGGAACGGGCTCTTGAAACCCCCAGAGGTGACCAGCAGAACCATGGCCAGACTCCGACTAAAAAGGGCATAAAGGACTACTTTAGATACCTCAGATAAATGGAATCATATAATGATTGTCATTTTGTGACTGGCTTATTTCATTTAATGTCTTCAAGTTTCATCCATGTTGTAGCATTTACAGAAATTACAGAATTTCCTTCCTTATTAATGCTAAAAATATTCCATTGCATGTATATATTACATTTTGGTTATCCATTCATGCATCAATGAGTATCTGGGTTGCTTCTATCTCTTAGTTATTTGGAAAGATACTGTTATGAACATGGCTGTGCAAATATCTCTTTGAGACACTGCTTTCAATTGTTTTGGATATACACCCAGAAGTGAGATTGCTTGATCACATGGTAGTTCTATTTTTAGTATTTTGAGGAATCACAATAGTTCATTAATTTTGATTGCTGAACAATGTTCTATGGCTACACTATATTTTGTTTATTCACACATTGGTTGATAGACATTTGACTTGTTACCACTTTTTGCTGTTAAAAACGATGCTGCTATGAACATTCATGTGTAGGTCTTTGTGTGGACATATGTCTTTATGTCTACTGGGTAGATACTTACAAGTGAAATTTCTGAGTTGTATGATAAATGTATCTGTAAATTTTAAAGAAATAGACACACTATTTTCCAGAGTGGCTGCACCATTTTGCATTCCCACCAGCAATGTATGAGGGTTCCCATTTCTCCACAACTTTGCCAACACTTGTTGTCTTTTTCATTACTGGCTGAAAGTCTCAAGGAAGACTGTGCACTCAGGATCATCTTTATGACTAAGTTTACAGTTTCTAGGAAACACAGAAGGTTACTAGGGCAAGTTTTAAGACATCAGAAGAAACCAACAGACAAATCCAGAATGAGGGACATTCCATAATGTGTAAGACAGTTGAAGCATGGTCTCTTCAAAGAGTCTTTTTTTTTTTTTTTAAAGAACTCTTGGCCAGGTGCGATGGCTCACACCTGTAATCCCAGAATTTTGGGAGGCCGAAATGGGTGGATCATGAAGTCAGGAGTTCAAGACCAGCCAGGCCAAGATGCTGAAACCCTGTCTCTACTAAAAATACAAAAATTTACAGGCAGATGCCTGTAATCTCAGCTACTTGGGAGGCTGAGGCAGGAGAACTGCTTGAACCCAGGAGGTGGAGGGTGCAGTAAGTCAAGATCGCACCACTGCATTACAGCCTGGGTGACAGGGTGAGACTCTGTCTCAATAAATAAACAAACAAAAAAACAAACAATAGCATGTAGCATATGTGCTGTACACAAAGTAGGTGTAAATATTTCTACTGAATGAGTGAATGAGTGAATGAATGAATGGATGAAATTCTGAAGTTTGGAGAAGACTTACACGGGAAGAACACAGTGGGTAACGCAGAAGGAGCTGATACAAAGAAGCAGAGAGATTTTTCTGAAGATATCTGAAGGTACCGTCTATGTACACATAGATCTTCTCAGAAATGGGAACCATAAGGCCACTGAGAGCCCTTGGAAACCATTAACCCTTCTTGCCCGCCTGCAGCACAGCTGGTATAAGCTCTTTCGACTCAGTGAGAAATATCCCTTTCTTAGCTTTGAGGACAATGCTTATTTTTCCCATTCATTAAAATGCATACACCTGCAAAAATCAATTTTTTGATGATGGTGCAATCAGGATCAGAACACCATTAAACTGTTCCTGTTGCTGCTGATTAGAATTAACTCATTAGCACAGAGGGCTAAGCTGGAGGTGCCAACAGCTCGGCTTCCTGCTTCACATCTCTTTCTGCTCAAAGGCCTGGAAGGAAATGAAATATACTTAGTTGAAAATATCTAGTGGCTTCGCAGGAAACGGGTCTTGCCAGATTTCAGGGCCTTCTGCTCTTCACTGACCTGGAAGAAAAGAGTTCCATTCATGAATTCTAAGGAAATTTAGCCTCAAAATGGGAACTTGGAAGAGACAACCAGAAAACCCCAGTACTTATAACGCTGTTTGGAACACGTCACTCATCTGGGTCAGGCGCAGTCGTTCTAGCTTAACTCATGTACACTGGTAACCTAGTGGTCCCAGACCTTGTGGAGCAGTCCTGCGCAAGGCCCTTAGGTGACAGAGGTTGCAGGAAAGCCCAGCAGGTTGATTTTGTAAGACTAGCAGAGCCACCTTGTGGTTGCTTTAGAAAATTGTGTTTGAGACTGTGGTCTCAAAACACTAGAAACAGCATTAAATGATGACCCCAGAGGCAGGAGACGCAAAAAGAAGGAAAGCAGCCAGCATTACCAAGGAAACTTGGAAGCAGAGATAGTAAGTAGCATTAAAAAAATTAGTTCTGTTGACAACTGTGTTTAAGCAATTTTGAGTTAAAGTTAAAATAACTTCCTTCTCAGACCCTCTAAGATGTTCTCATTGATTGTGAATCTCTAAAAGCAGTATACGAAGCAGTATTTGAAGGATTAGTATGTGTGATCTGAATTTGATAAACACTATTTAGAGCCACATGGCAAATGACATAAAAATCACACCTATCAGTACATGGAAACGTTCCTCCATTATTAAAGAAATCGAATTACTAGAAAACAATAATGTTCTTTGATGAGGCTAGCCCAGAAGACTCAAGTGTGGATTCTTTCAGCTGGCCAGTTCAGTTCCTTCAGGTGCATTTGATCTAATTCGAGCGGGGCATTCCCTTCCGACGCTCCTGAAAGATGGTCACACAGGCAGTGGCTGACAATGCCGTGGACCTCACCATGCTTGGAACTCATCAATGTGAAGTGACTCATTCCCTCTCTGTTCAACTCTGTAGGAATTTCTTATATTGGGCTGAAGTCAGCCTCTATGCCTTACATGAATTGGTCTTAGTTCTGCCATTTGAGTTCCACAGAGCGACTGATATTTTTCCTTCATGACAATCTTTCAGGAATTTGAACAGTTGTTATTTTATCTCATCTCAAAATCATCTCCAAGGAAAGCTACCCCAGCATTTTCTATCATCTATAATAGTACCTGGATGTGGTTTTCAGACTCTTCAACCTGCTGATTACCCTCCTAAAAGCGCTTCTTCTGCCTCGGTGTCCCTCTTAAAAAGTGTGTGACCTGGAATTGGATACAGCACTTCAGAGCAATGGACAGTGGGACTACCTGGATATTATACACACACAGAAAATATTTAATGAAGTTTATAATTGTATCAAGGTGTTGAGCTTTTTGAGCACCAATATTCCTGAGTCAAAAAAAAAAAATCTTTTTACATAGTTGCTAAGCCAGGATTCCCACATTCTCTACGTTTGTATGTACATTGTTTTTTATAACATAAATGTCACACTTCATTCAGTCCTACTTAATTCAACTGGGTAACACATCATTTTAGCTTCTTGAGATATTCTTCCCTACCACTGACTTATCTATTTGTTCATCCTTCAATTCATTCAGTAAAGATTTATTGAACAACTTTTATGTATTAATCATTTCTTAGGCTCTGGAGATTCAAAGACAGTGTCTGTTCCAAAGGAGCTTACTAACATCTAGTAAGAGGGCATTGATAATTGTTTCTATAATGTCACTGGGTCCTATAGTTGTCACTAGAAACCTTTCTCCAAAATTAGATTGACCCAACTGTTTAGTTGGGGTTCTTCTAACAGATAAAATTTTATCTGAAGTTATCATGAGAAATTTATCAGTTGTCTTGCTGAAAACAAGATTAGGCCTACATTATTAAATCAAGAAAATGTTGCCAGGTGCGGTGGCTCATGCCTGTAATCCCAGCACTTTGGGAGGCTGAGGCAGGCGGATCACGAAGTCAGGAGATCGAGACCATCCTGGCTAACACGGTGAAATCTCGTCTCTACTAAAAACACAAAAATTAGCCGGGAGTGGTGGCGGGCACACCTGTAATCCCAGCTACTCGGGAGACTGAGGCAGGAGAATGGTGTGAACCCAGGAGGCGGAGCTTGCAGTGAGCCGAGATCGCACCACTGCACTCCAGCCTGGGTGACAGAGTGAGACTTCGTCTCTACAATTAAAAAAAAAAGAAGAAGAAGAAATAAAGAAAATGTCTTCCATATTCAACATGGTTCAAACCCTAACATTAAATGCAGACACAAGTCAATTTAATTGTATATCAAATTGCTAACATTACACCAGAGAAAGTATAATCAATTCAAGTAATTTATGAAAATAACATAATTTAAGTGAGTAACATCCTGCGGCCAAAAATAACTGCAAAAAATCTTGAATTCATGTAATAGGTTTGTTGTTAGTAAAGCAACAAGTATAATTCTGAAACTATTTTGTATATAATTGTAGGATAAAACAAATAAATATATTGATATTTTGGAGAAGAAAACATCTAGCCTCTCACTGTAGGAGAATTTGGAATGAGTGTAGATGCAAAAGAACTCTGTAGCATTGGATTTGAATTGGAGATGTTATATAAAATCAATATTTTTAAAAAATATAGCATATACTCCAGGTATACCCACTGAAAGGGCTTCAAAACATTGATATCCCAGTAACTGGAGCACTTGCAAGCATCATGACACTTCACCTCTGCATGTTTTGGCATGTATCTCCCAAGAACAAAGATATTCTCCTAAGGAACCACAATACCATTATGACACATAAGGATTTACTATTGATTCCTCGGCAAAAGGAATCAGGGCTCTTTAGAGCAATGGATGATTCCAGGAAAGTATAAGATGAGCCTGGAAAGTCTTATGATTCTAGAAGGTGAGGTTATGTTCAAAGACTAATGGAGACATGCCAAAAGGACACAAGAGCCAGCTTGAGGAGGCTCCCATGTTCAACTTCAGGGCCGTTTGAGCACCAAAATTAATAATGAAGTAATGGATTATAATGTACTGAATAAAAAAGAATGCATTTGTGCAGATACTATAAACCCAGGTTGGAGGGGAAGAGAAGAGATTCTTTTTTTCTAAAGAATATCAGTTAATTTCCTCAGCACAGAGATGATTCTCAAGGATAGACCATATGTTAGGTCACAAAACAAGTCTTAAAAGATCCAAAAATTGAAATTTGTCAAGTATCTTCTCTGACCACAATGGAGTAAAACTAGAAGTTAACAACAAGAGGAATTTTGGAAACTATACAAACACATGAAAATTAAACAATATGCTCCTGATGACCAGTGGGTTAGTGAAGAAATTAAGAAGAAAATTGAACAACTTCTTAAAACAAATGATAATGGAAACACAACATACCGAAACATATCAAGTACAGCAAAAGCAGCAATACTAAGAGGAAAGTTTATGGCTATAAATACCTACATCAAAAAAGAGGAAAAACGTCAAATAAACAATCTAATGATTCATCTTAAAGAACTAGAAAAGCAAGAGCAAACCAAACTCAAGATTAGTGGAAGAAATAAACATCAGAGCCGGGCGCGGTGGCTCAAGCCTGTAATCCCAGCACTTTGGGAGGCCGAGACGGGCGGATCACGAGGTCAGGAGATCGAGACCATCCTGGCTGACAC